GCTCTTTGCTACTCTGTCAGTGGAAATTCTCAATCTAGTTGACATGTTTTCCAATTGCTTCTGACACTGAACTACAGTAGAAAAGGACCTAGAATGTTGCAGCAGGAATCTGTGGGCTGATGGGGTTTTGCTGTTCCACTAACAACTTGCCTTTATCCTTACTCTTTGTAGAAGCAAGAAAGAAAAAGTGTTTACAAAGATTCTAACACTGCCTGCTTCCCCCTTGACTCCATCAGTGTTATACTCTCCATATAAATGCTTTTCTGGTCAGGAGTTGCAGTTTTCTGTGAAGAGTGAGTGCCCTCATCCAACCTTGAGCCTAAGGTTCTCTCCCTGCTACTGGATGCCTGGAAGAAAGCAGAAGATCAAGGTGCATTTGTAGAGAGACTTATTCAGATATTTCCTCATCTCTATCTAATCTGTGGTTTAGACATCATCTAAATCAAAGACTGTGTTTTTATGTTTACTAACAATGAGTTACTTTTTCACATAAGCTTGCATAGTCGGTTTTGAATCCTTAAACATGTGCTCTCCAAACCATGTGGCAATGAGTTCAACACTACTTCCACGTTGCCTGAAGATCTGAGCCATGAACAGTATGCAAATCTTTCTTGATCCTCACTTTCCAGTGTCTTATTTTTCATCGCAGTGAATTTGCTTTAATCTCCTTGGTCAGACTGAGACCCTATTTCTGGGAAAAGAAATATCACAGCTATTCCTTCCATTGACAAACAGTAGACAGATTGAGGCAGTGGTTGTGGTCTTACATATGCAGACCTGGAATAAAGACTGACAGCAAGCAGGAGGGAACACGTCTCCAGGGATGTAGCAGAGTCATGGCATGACAAAGAAATGTGATGTGCTATGGCATCACATATACCATGTACTAAGAGTACACTGTACACTGAACTGGATCTGCTGAGCATACTGACAAATACTAGAATGTAGCAGTGCTCTAGGGTTCTTGTGTTAACTGGAAAATAATAGGAAGACCATCAAACACATTGTTAGTGTGATAAAAATGAGGATAAATTTGAACTGTTCTTTCTTCTGTAATTTGTAGTTTCTTTCATTTTGCTTAGTGCCTTCTTCAGTGCAATGGAATATCAAATGCATGATCTGTTTTGCGGTTGTTCATTTGAGGGTAGTTTTTTTTTCACTTATTTTGCAGACTTCCTTATCTTTCTTATCTCAGACCACCACTGGTCTAGGGAGTACAAGTGAAAAAGCACTGGTATAAAAGTGTGCTTCTTTGCAAACATGATAAGCAATAGAAAAATGGTATGCTCCTGAGATTAATAATAATGTGGCTTTTGTTCCTTTTATTTTTTCAGAATTAACTGCATTAATTGCAGAATTAAAAGCATTTTCCGAGGGACCTCGAGAGGCTAGAAAGGTGGGCCAGGGTGAACCTGATGAGGTTCAACACAGCAAAGTGCAGAGTTTTGCACTTGGGCTGGAGGAATCCCGGGCATCCATACAGACTGGAAGGAGCGGTCCTTGAGAGCAGCCCTGGGGAGAAGGACCTGGGGATCTTAATAGATGAAAAACTTAATATGAGCCAGCAGTGTGCCCTTGGGGCTCGGAAGGCAAATGGTATCCTGGGCTCCATCAGAAGAGGGGTGGCCAGCAGGGACAGGGAGGTGATTGTTCCCCTCTACTCTGCTCATGGGCAGCCTGGTCTAGCATTAAATGGGGAGGTTGGTGGCCCTGCATGTGGCAGGGGGGTTGGAGATTCATGATCCTTGAAGTCCCTTCCAACCCAGGCTATTCTGTGTGATTCTGTGATTTCTGACCATCTCCATGATGCTGTAATCCCTGAGTCCTTCTAGCTACTTACAAATTGTATTTTGGAATGGAGCATGAAAACTGAGTGGGCCTTCCACATTCATGTATAAGCTTTTTTTTAATGCTGACATTACTCACTTACCCAAGTTTTGTCACAGGCAGCAAATGCTATACATTGTCTTACACAGATCATAATCTTGATAACTGGTCCAAAAGATCCATAGGGCCCAGGGCCCCATCCAATCTGGCCTTGAACACCTCCAGGGACGAGGCATCCACAACCTCTCTGGGCAGCTATCTACCCTTTCCAAGAGTTAATTCCCCTGCTGTTTGTAGGCTCCCTTTAGGTACTGAAACTTATCTCTTTAGATAAAGATCTCATTTTTGGGTGACTGGACAGCTAGGGAATCCTGACAGAGTTACAGAACAAATATGCCGAAATATAAGTAATTATCCTCAAAGAAATGAATAGCTTGTAAGTCGACTTAAGTATGTCAAAGGAATTAAGTAATGCATTGTTTACCACCATGTTCATGTTTCTATATTGCTGGCACTGAAATTAGACGCTAATTAGTCAAGCAGCTAATTCATAGTTTTCCTAAGAGTAAATGGGTGAACCTTTTTTAGCTTCAAGACAATCAAGTTGAACAGATATCTGTCAGAGATATTTTAATTAGACTTATAAATCTATCTAAATTCTCCCCCTCTCATCCAACCTCATACAAAATGGAATCTGCACTGTGGTTCTTCAATGTACTGTCATGTTCCCAGCTTTATTCCCCCTTTCTAAGCCTTCAAAATGGAAAATAGTACATTTAACAAGTTGGCGTCAGAAGCAAACTGCTTGAGATGTCTTTTTTTCTATGCTGGATTTGTGCAGTTATTTTTAATAGCTGTGCTACTAGTGTCTTCTGCTGTATTTTAAGAAATCATTTGATGACTGAAATGTAAACATTAAGCATTAAAAAATTTGGCCTCGGTAAACTGATCATATACAGGTAATTTTTGCTTTCTGTTTTGCATGTACGCCTCATAAAGAAGGTGGCCAATAATCTTAATGTATTTGTACTGCATACTTTTAAAGGAGTTTTCTTGTTTGTCTGATGCAGAGTGCATTCCTCAGAGAATAACAAGGGCCCATAGGGAGCTGATTGACACCTCTGACCCTTGCTGAGCAGGCTGAGGTCATTCTAGGGGTCCTGTTTTGATCTTCTCCTTTAGATCAGCACTGAGTGGAGGGGATTAAGAGATTGTTTTCTGCAGTCTGTGCAAGGGGTCCACTACTGAGGATAGCACTGAAAAGAATGTTAGTCATTCCCACTGACTGCTATGGGAAATTCATAGGATCACTGCATCAAGTGCTGGGATTGCTAGAGAGTCTTAAGATAGAAGGAGCATCTGGCAAGGCATATCTTATCTAGCTGTGATATTTCTACAGAAGATGCTGTTTTATTGCATATTGATTTAAGATGTGTATTTCATGGAGGATTGACATATTTGCTATATTTTTTCCAAGTGATTTGTCTAATAATCTTAATTTTATATTAAAAGAAAAATGTTAAGCATTTCATCCCAAGTTTTTTCTTGCCATTCTTTTTGCTCACGTGAAACTTCATTTATGGCTCTCTGGATCACAGCATTTAAAGGAAAAGCAGCTTGCCCTATAAATAGCTATCAATCCCAAAGCTTGCTTTAAACAACTACTTAACAAAACTACATGCTTGAGAGTCACTTCACTCGACCTGCCAGTACTAAAAAGCAGTATCAAAGAATGGCTCAGGCTTGAATAAAATCAGTGCAGAGAAATCAATTCTCCTGGGGCACAACTTAGAGCCCAGACTCTGGCGTTGTTCACTACACATTGGCAGCTCAGTTGAAAAATCTGTTCTCTCTTTCTAAGGTCAGCCTGTCTAAGGCAAGGGACACACCCCCACAGCAATGATGCAATATAGCCACAGGAAAACTGCATTCCTCCAAGTATTTAGCTGTGGTGAGAAACACAGTTTAGTAGACAGTGATTTCAGGACAATGCAAGTTTTCCCACTTCCAAGAACAAAAATGGGAAGGTGTTAGAAAAGATAGCTTTAAAGTTATTAGAGGCCTCTGCTGTTGCCTATCACCACAGAATGTAAACATGTTCCATGTACAATAGCTCTGGCATTGTAGAGTATCTGTTAAATCAAAAGAGAATTCTTTTATATAAATCATGTAATGATTTATACATCATATACATTTATACATGAAATATAAATCATGTAATAAATTGGTAGCTTATGCAGTTGAAGAATTACTATATTGGGCTCATTGTGCTTTTTTTGCATCAACTAGTGTGCCTTAGCCAGGAGTACTGTTCTTTAACTGTTTCCTCTTTCTACATCTCTGACTAAATTGCAACTTTACAGTTTGTTAATGCAGGAAAAAAAAAAAAACAACCAAAACAAAACAGTCACTGCTTCCACATTGGTTCTAATCTTACAGTAGTGAAAATCTGAAGTATGAGATTAAGTTATGAAGTTATTTTCTATTTTACTTGCTTTACTTTATTTGTCTTAAACGGATGGCACCACCTCCCCAGGCTAGAGAACCTTTTTTTTTTTTTTTTCCTCTCTCTTATGATTTCAAAATGAAGCCACATAAAACCAGCCCCAAATACCTGTCTGCTGACCAGAGCTGTTAAGTTTTGGTGCCAGGGAAATGAGCCTGGCCTGACTGGACTAATTAAGTTGGCCAAGGCACTTGAGGATAGCTTAAAGATGAGCATCAGTGGGAAAGGGAGGAAAACTAACTTCTTATATGTGCACATATTAAAGGAAACAAGCTGCTCAAAAAACATGGTGAGTGATTGGCACCACAGGCTGTCTGCTAAGAGAGCAGCGTCTGGAAGTTAATGGAGATGACTTTTTATACAGCAGTCCTCGAACAACAGAAGGATTGATTCCTCCCTGCTCCCCCTTTATTATCAAAATTACTTTCTCCTTAGATTCTAAGAAATTGTACTTTTAGTTTCTGAAACTGTTTTGCAATAATGTTGAAGGGATTATTGGACAATCCTAGCACAAATTATCCTCATGGGCAGATCTAAGTGGTAAATAACTTCTTCGTTTACAAGCAGTTAAGCTATACTGGTTTGACTATGTAGTTGTTACTATTGCTGCTAATTTTGTGTGCTTTGTTGAATATGCACCGCATTTAATGCTTTTCTGTTTCCACAGAAACATAGCAATGGTTGAAAAAATGGAACTGACAGCAACTATAAAGCTCAAATTTCCGCATCTTCCTTCCTTGGCATGCCTTGAGGGTGCTAAGATACTTCAAGAGATACTGTATGTGACAAACAGAAGTCTAAGCTACCTGCTATTTGTTGCTAATCTGATATCTCCCTCTTCTTACTGAAGTCCTGTGTGAGTAACAATCATTTCCTACTTAAAATTTCTCTGCATTTTCAGTTGGATGTCTTTGTTACATTGTGAGTTAAACTATGCAGTTTAGCAACTGTCAAATGGCAAGGGCCAACTCTTAGCTCTGTTTTGGATGAACTGTCTCTTGGAAAAAGGAGAGAGGGAATGTTTATTTCTATAAATGTAGTTTGTAGGGCTGTTTCATAGAGATCTTCATAGAGTCCAGTTCACTGCAATGAGAAAGAAATACAGTGGGTTGCAGCTAGTTGAAATTTGTTATGTGATCAATTGCTGTGAGGAAACAACCTTATTAGATTTCAATTTGTCTTACAGAAGTTTTGTTTCTCTTTTTTTCTGAGCTCCTCCTATATGAATGTTGTACTGTTGAGTCCTTGCAAAGAAAAGAGGTTTGTTTACTGCGTCGAAAACAAGTATGAGATAAAGAAGAATAGGTATTTTTCAATATTACATGATTTTTTTTCTATGTTTGACTGGTGTCTTTACCTAAACAAGGCAATCAGGAATGCGAAGTAGGGAATTAATAGTAAGTATCTCTAGGAAGAGGTGTTTCAGCAGTTGGATCATTATTTTCATACTTAGAAGACCAGAGTATAATTCCATTCTCTCGTGAGTATGCCTACAAAAGGCAAGTGGTTTCACCTTTCTGTGCTTCAGCTCCTCAGTTCTGCGCTAAGGCTAATAGCATTGCCTCATTACAGCTTGCTGTAGGGGAGGACCAACCTGATGTATTTTGAAGGAGATGTGGGTGGGAATCATTGCAGCCATGGCGCTTAATATGTATTTCTTAAAGAAAGCACTGGACTGTGGCTCTAGCAAAGGCTGTGACACTTACTCCACACCCCAACTCAATGAACTTTCACTTAACTGCTCAGAGAGGATGTAGGAGAGGGAGAAAGTCCCAAGCTGTTGTGGTAGTTCTTTTTTAAGGGACTGGTGAAGGAGTAAACTTGCATTTGGGGCAGAGTGGTAGGGTGTTTGTTTTTTTCCTTGTTATTCCCCCTCCTCCACAGAAAATACTGAGGATTATTTGCATGTGTGTACACAGTGGGAGAAGATGCCCAACTGGGATCCAAGCGTGAATGAAACAGAGCTTGCAGTTCAAAGCCGACACAGTCTCAAATTCTTGCTCCTAGGAAAAAAAAAAAAACAACTTCCTTTATTTTTCCTTTACTAAAAAAAAAAAACCACCTGAAATTAAAATCCCATATCTTCCTTTTAAAAAGTGCATGCATTTAAATAATTTAAATCAGTACACTTCCTCCAGGAGAGGAAGAGAGGGATATTCCTTTTCCCAAAGCCTGTTTTTAATCACTGGCTGAATTTTGAGACAATCTCTGAACATTCAGCGCTTGTGGTCAGTTTTCCCCACCCAAAATGTTAGTGGTTTTTGCAGACATTCCATAAACACAGGAAGCTTTGACTGTGTCTCTAACAGATAGAGAGACAGAAAAGCAAAATACCCAATATAAAGGCTAAGTCTAAACTTGACATGCCAGCTCTGAACAATGATTTATGTAGTCCAGAAGTCTGTCTCTGATAGTCAGAGACAGATGTTTCAAGGAGAATACTGAATATTTGTAAAGCACAATTCTGATATAACCTGCCTATGTTCTTTTTTAGTTTTTTAATTTTAAAAAAAATTATTGAATTCCTCCCTGAACCATGGAGCTTTTTACTCTGAGTCTATATTTTAAGTCTGTTAATTTGAAGAGGGGAAAGGGGCAACATGGAAGGCTGCAAAAGTGTGCTGTGCAGAATTCCCTTGGTGTTTTGAATTGTAGATGACCTCGTGGCCATTAGGTCCTAATTTGTATCTGCTAAGTTTTAGCCTTAATTATACCTGCAGAAGTTTCATGGATTAAGTATTGGATCAGTATTTCATCTGAGTATTCTGTCATCCATTCTAGGACTTCCAGCTTCCAGCATCTTACATAACATCTGATTTTCCTTTTAACGTGGGAATAGCCAAAGAGAAGTTCTTGTCTTTTTTTTTCCCCACGCCATTTATTGTTTTTATATAATTTACTTGTTGTTAATCTCCTTTTCGTAATAGTTCCTTTCACCCATGCGTTTTTCAATGAGAAATCTTTCCTTTAGTCACTTTCCTCACCAGTCTCAACTTTGGTTTTGCCCACTAATACAGGTGAACACACACTTTTCACTTTAGAAGAGCATTTTAATTTTATAATATTCTTTCCCATTTGAGTTTTAATCTTTTTGACCTCATCAGCTGCATGAATAATGATTTAGCAGAACTCCCCATCATTAGCCCTTATCTTTCTCATGAGCAGTTACATTCAGTTACAAATAGCTGAAATTCAGAACACTTTTTGCAAGGTACATTATTTCAACTCTGTTAATCTACATTTCTCATTTCTACCCATTTAAAATTACAGGAGAGGACATGAAATCTCCAACAATTTCTGAAGGCTTTTGTGAGTAGCTGTTGAAATAGCTGAATCTAAGGGCTTTTAATTATACATTTTGAATTTAGGATTCTGAATCACAATAATTCCATATTATCTAGAGCCAATGTTCTTTAGACAAGATTCCTCATTTTGAGTAATTTTCTTTAAATTCTGTGGTTTAATATGATTTCTCCCTTAACAATCAAACTGGAATACAATGTCTGCACTGTTAGCCTGTTTGCCTGCAGAAACCCCATTCCAGAATTTCTTGTTCTGGAGAGGGAAAAAAGAAAAAGTAACAATCTCAAACAAATTGGACCAAAAAAATACTGACTCTGATTCCAGCAAAGTGAGAAAAAAAATAGTAGTAGGACTTTCACCTTAATACTGATAATCTTAAAATAGGAATCAAAACAGGAAGAATTTAACTGAAACAAATATTTTGTTTACATTTGTCACAAAATCATTTTGTAAAAATGCATCTGATGTAGAGGCAGATATACCCATATGCAGAACTTTAGCACAGGATAGTACAATTCAAATCCTAAACTTCCCTATCAAAAATTCCTATTACAACTCCACCAAGAGAGGACTACTTAATTTTAGTTTTGATTTGTTTTATCCTAACCACTGCATGTTTAGAAAAACAGAGCACATTCTATTGTACTCTACTGGTATAACATCTAAGCTACCTCATCTCTCTGACCCTTGCTGCATCACCCATAGCTTAAGTTCAGATAAAATCAAGGTACCATTATCAGGGTCCTGCTGGAAGCAGTTGAATTCAGTTTGGTCAAGCTGTTCATTAGAATTTTATTCTGTTTCTGTTTAAAATCTGCCTTCAGTGTATCCCTGCCCTGTCCTGTTCTTGCTTCCTCTTACAAGTTTAGGCTGAAATCTGGAAATTCCTACCCCTCTGAGTAATGAACAAGGATGTAATTCCTCCCTGCAAGCTCAGCTCCTTTGGATCTGCTCTGAAATTAGCCCAGACTCCTGGCCCTTCACATATTTTACTAAACTTGCTTACGTGATAGCTTTAACACCGGGTGCTCATTTTTGTTTCTAACCTTACAACAGATATCATATGCAAGTAAAGAAATACCTTGTTTTACCAACCGATGTTGGCTTCAGAAGCCATATTCTGCTCTGTTTATTTATTTTTGTTATTTTTATTGTACTGATCAAAAGCTTGGGGTTCCATGGCCAAATGTCACCTGTGTTGGTGTTACAGACAGATACTGGTTCCTTTTCTTGAAAATGACTGGAAGGGAGATTATTTATTTTTTAATCTTGACGTTATAATTAAGCATAGATAATTAACTACAAGATCTTAACAACTTTATGGCAGTAAGGGACCAGTAGGAATAACTATTACAACAACTGTCAACGTTTCTATGCTGTGTTTACGAGATTAATATACAAAAACCACAAAAATTTGTTGCAGACAGAAACTTGGCATTAAAAGAGGAAGTCCAGGATTTATTTTTTTTTCTTAAACTTGAATTTAAATGAATTTGGTCATTTTAAAGTAGGAAAAAGATTTTGTGGTTGTTTTAAGATAGACATTCCTGACATCATTCTGATTTCAAAGTATTTATGGAATTAATGGAGGCCACAGGACTCTGCCCCCTACTTTGCCCCCATTCTTCCTCTCTTCAGCAAACTTTTTTTTTTTTTTTGCACTTCATCACAGCCCATGTCAGGGACAGATAAAAGCATAGTTGTGTTTATTCTTTCTCATTTTTCTCTTTCATTCAATTAGGCATTTGCAAAACCCTATAACTAGTGACGCCCGTTGACTTTTGATAGCAGAGGGTTTCTTTGAGAACTTCTGGAAAATTTCACCTTAGTTATGTGTTCTGCACAGTGAGTGCTTTCTATGCCTACGTGTAATGTATATTAGGCACCCTATGCTGTCCTGAAAGCCATCTTTTTTTCCCCCGATCATTTTAACTCTTGCAGGAGATAGATTTCCAGCTATACCTGAAATAAGTGGCCTGTCGTGAAGAGAGTAGCAGCAGAAATTGTTCTAGTCATATTTCTGCTCATCTGGGAAATAAATGTTTAGCTTCTGTCTGGCCAATACCTCATGACTTAAACAATTTTAACATGATAAGGGAACTCAGAGGAGGAGGGGTATTTGGAATATAAAGAATTAGGACATCAAGAAAATATTCTAAGTTAGTGAGAGATTAAAAAAAATTAGGAAATCATCTTAGTTCTAAATCAAGAAAACATTGAAATGTAACAAAAAGGGTATTTAGGAAAGGAAGCAGCTGCGCTCTGAAAGGAGAATCCCCTGAAGGTTTTGTGAGCTGCAGGATGCTGTGCTGGCAGAGAAGAGACCTCACTGAGTGATTTCTTCATTTTTCTTTTTATCTCAGGTATCTAACTTTGCTTTAAAATTAAGCAGTGTAGTTCCAGTACTGCATAAGGTAAACCGTGAGGTTTTTATAAGTTCAAACAAACACGCTGTGAAGGAGCAAAGAATCCACTGTTCTCAGTCTGAGTTTCGTTTTGTACATTACCTGTGAACTTAAGGTATTAGTTCTTCTATTATGCTATCTGTGATGCAGGATGGGATTCTGTTGCCCTAAGATCTTAGAAAACAAATGCACTTGGTGATGAGTGCTCATATTTTATAATAAGAAAGAGCCATAATCCATGTTTTACTGACACCTAACATGAACAGGATTGCTTTGCCTCAAATTGTTAGTCAGTCTGGGGCAAAGCTGACCACAGTGTGGCCTGGTAGTCTAAGTAGTAACTCAGTAGCTTAAATCTGTCTTGCTGATTAATAGTATAAATTATATTTTCTACAGATGCTGAACAGACACTTAAAATGATGTTTGAGTTGTGCTACAGGAGGCCATTTTAAAATCCTGATGAGTTTGTCCAGGAAATGTAGTTGCTTTGTTGACTGCATGATCTGGGATGATGTCCTTATGCCCCAATATATATGTTCTGTTAGCAAGTATCATTTACTCAGGCTAGAAAATCTCTGTGTGTTATGTATTCTACAGCCAGAAAGACAGGAAGAAAGTTTCAGGTCACACATAGCATTTGTTCAGTCTTGAAAACATTTAGACAAATATAATTAATTTATTAAAACCTGTAAATCATAGAGTGGTTTGGGTTGAAATGGACCTTTAAGATCACCTGGTTCCAATCCCCTTGCCATAGGTTGCTCACAGCCCCATGCAAACAGGCCTTGAATGCTTCCAAGGAGGAGTATCCACAACCTCTCAGAACCTTCAGACAGTGATGTTGTGCTGTTGCATTTCTCAGATGTGTGGTGTACCACAAGCATCACAGTGACTTCAGCTACAAGTGCCACACTTGTGAACAGGCACTCTGGAACAAGATGTAAAGTTTCAAAGACAGCAGCTTTTGAGTTGTGCACCAGTTAGTGAGTGTTCCTTGATATCTAACATAATATACATGTTGGTAGTTCCTCCCCTCCATGCTCACCCCCATCCTTCCAAAATGGACAAACTGAGCAGAGGTGAAAGGTGAGGGACTAATGTCAAGCTCTTTAATTTACCCCTCTGGGCAGGTCTGTGCAAAACAGTGCACATATGGTGCCGTGGAAATTCAACTGTTGTTAATGCTTCCTGTCCAGAAAATGCTTTGGGTTGGAGTGATGAGAATGGCAAGGTAATTTTTCATTGACAAAATGGTTTACTTTATATAAATGCATGATAACGGGGATGAGTTTAATCAGTAAAACAGCAGGAAATTT